TGATAATGATGATTATGATTATGATGATTATGATTATGATTAGTAATATTTATTATTATGATTGATTATTATTATTATTTATTATGTTGCTTGATATGTATCATATTTTATATTGTTATTGCTTGATCACCTTTTATGTATGTTTAAAGGGAATTGGTATTTGCAATCACGCTTGATAAGATAATTAATAATCTTGTTAGGTTTAATTGTGATTATAATTCAAGTGATCGCCAATAATAGTTTATTTGTGCATTAAATTCAACCAACATAGTTTAAACAGGTTTAGGGTTAACCTATTGATTGTATGTTAGTCAGAAAGCGCACATGAATACGAGCAGAATAAAGTAGAGGCCTATTATTAGGGCAGGTTCAATCTCTTTCAGGTTGGATTTGTACCATCATCCCCGGACCCTTATTTGGTTCATGACCTTACGGAGTTGGCGATCTCTTGGATCGTTAAGGGGTGTAACCTTCACCTCGTGAACGGTTTACAAGTTCCTTAAAAATTTGTTGGCGACTCTTTTGCTCTATCTTCTTCCCTTTTAGACGTCACCGTACTTTAGTGTATGATCACAGTGGGGTTCAAGCTAGTGGGATTTTAAGGCTTGAAATTATTCCCTACAATCACCATCTTTTTTTTTGTGATAATTCTGATGTGTCTATTTTATATAGTATTTTACCCCCGTCCCCTGGTCATAATTAGTAGTGTTTTTGGCTCTTTGGAGCCACTTTTATTACTAATTGGTGTTTTCTAGTGTTTTCGTAGATTTGGTTGACTTTTGCAGGGATTTGCACTTTTGGAGCATTTTCCCGATATATTATGGAGCAATCTCGAGCACTGGAGAAGCACGACCAGATTTTATAGCCCAGGGTCGGTTAGAGCCATCGAACGGTGATTAAGGGCTCGGTATAGGTGATATCGGGGCATTTGGACCGAGTATTCAAGACCCAAAGAGGAAATCCAGATTGGCCCGAAGAATCGGAGCCCAATCGTAGTCCAGATAGCGGCCCAAGAGAGTCGCCCGGCCAAAAAGGCTGGCGCCCGGCCGGGCGGGAGAAGCAAAGGTCGGCGCCTGGTGACGTGCCCGGCCGGGCGCGAGATTCAACCTGAAGAGCAAAAAGGCGCGCCCGATCAGGCGGTGCCTCGCCCGATCGGGCGCGTGTAATTATTAGAGGTTAATTTCGTCGTTTAAGTTTGTTTTAGTTTAGGATTTGTACGGAGTATAAATAATCCTCCGTAATACGATCTTCGGAATCTCACTCTTTACTCTTTTCTTTACTCTCTTAATTGTTTTCTTAGATTTTCTCTCTCTTATACTTTTGTTCTTAATCCATTCTTAATTCCAGATTTGTTTGGTAACTATTTCTCTTCTCTTAATCTTAGTTGTTTATTTTATTCCTTTGATCATGTCTTGTTTTATTGCTTTGATTAGTTTAGTTTTTATTATGTGTGAGTAGTTCTATTTCTAGGGTTTATGAGGATCCATAAATAATATGAAGGGGTAATTTATTGTTGTTAATTGTCAATGCTAGATTAATTTCCTATTGATTGATTTAATGCTCTGTGACTAGATTAGGCCTGATCTTTTATGCATGAGTTTGACAATATTGATTCGAGATTCGACAGATGAGAATTGATGTTTAGGTCTAGTTTCAATAGGCAGTTTAATTTATAAATGGTTAAGTCGAGATTCAAAAGATGAGATTTAATACCGGTAAATTAATTGTGTGATTATAATACGTAGCGAAAGCCCTTTATAATCTGATTGACGTATGCATTGATGAATGATTATTATATTCTACCCTGAAATATTATTTATTGGTGAACCTATGCCCTAGATCCTTTTATTCATTGTTTTCTCCCTGTTCTTAACCTTCGTAGTTTAGTTTCATATTCAACTTGTATATTGCTTACCTAATAATCTAGATTATATTAGTTAATTAGGAATAGAAAGACTCGTTTCTCTGTGGATTCGACCCTACTTCCCTATCTGCATTAGTTAGAGGATTTAGGAATTACTTTTGATTTGGGGATACAACTTTACCCTGTCAAATTCTCAATGATAAGATTTATGTACAATTATAGGAGTAGTCAAATCGCAATTGACAAACTTCAGCATTGTTAAGATATGTACAAGTGTTATAGAATATGGGTCTTTTGGCATGTATTATTTATTAATGTGCATAGTTATCGAATTATTGTTCATGTTTTTGGATTTTGTGACTATGTATATAAGTAAATTTTCGATCTCTCTAACATTTTAAAAAGAGAAAAAATGTTTTAGGCAAAAAGGGTAGTTCAACAGTATATCGTTTTCCCTACATTCCCTCCATGTCCCAACAAACCTTGGTCTTATTTTTTTTACTCTTTAGGTTGGTAGGTGTGTTTATTCAATGTCTCATCACTTGTAAATGATTTTTTTTTTGGTTTTATTTATGGTCTTTGTTATTTGCTAGCAATGGTAAGTGTGTTGTGTTGTTCAAGCAGTCGTCACGCATTAATAAATTTTTTGTTTTACTTTTTTTCTAATTTTTTTTTGCTTAATTTATGGTTTTTGTGTTTTTGCTAGCAATGTTGTATCTTATCACTGTCGACCTTGTTCCACACGTCGCATCACCATCTTTTCTTTTAGGGTGATAATTCTCAATGATAAGAATTATGTGTAGCTATATGAGTAGTCAAATCTCAATTGATAAACTTCTGCTATGTTAAGATATGTACAAGTGTTATAGAGATCGAATGGGTCTTTTGGCATGTATTATTTATTGATATGCATAGTTATTGAATTACTGTTCATGTTTTGGATTTTGTGACTGTGTATATAAGTAAATGTTCGATCTCCTTAACATTCTAAAAAGAGAAAAAATGTTTTGGACAAAAAGGGTAGTTGAATAGTATATCGGTTTCCCAAAATTCCCTCAATGTCCCAACAACCCTTGCTCCTTTTTATTTACTCTTTAGGTTGTTTGGTAGGTGTGTTTATTCAGTCAGTCATCACGTGTCAATGTTTTTTTTTTGGGGTTTTTCTAAGCTATGACTCTAAGGTAGTCGAGTTTCTAAGGTGTACCCATGCTTTTTCAAATTTCTAAGTTGTGCCCCTCAACTCACTACCATTAATGAATGGTACCCTTCTTGGACTTCCACGTTATCTAAAGTTAACTATAAATTTAATAAAAAGATGATAAAAGGTAAGGAAATGATACGAGAAAGAAATCTTAACCATAACAACCCTAATAACGAAAACTAAAGCCACGAAATCACACTCTCAATTAACTTTTAAATAACTAATAAGGGTACATTTTATTAATGATAAGAATTTGAAGGGCACGGCTTAGAAACTTGAAAAAAACATGGGTACACCTTAGAAACTCAACTACCTTAGGGGTATAGCTTAGAAACCCCCCCTTTTTTTGTTATATTTATGGTCTTTGTTTTTTGGTAGCAATGGTAGGTGTGATGTGTTGTTCAATCAGTCGTCACGTGTGTCAATGAATATTTTGTTTTCCTTTTTTTTTCTAATTCTTTTTTTTTTTTTTGTTTTATTTATGGTCTTTGTTTTTTGTTAGCAATGTTGTGTCTCATCACTATTGACGTTGTTCCACATGTTGCATCACCATTTTTTTTTTTTTTGGGTGATAATTCTCAATGATAACATTTATTTAGAGCTATAAGAGTAGTCAAATCTCAATTGATAAAATTCTGCATTGTTAAAATATGTACAAGTGTTATAGAGTATGGGTCTTTTGGCATGTATTATTTATTGATGTACATAGTTATTGAATTATTGTTCATGTTTTGGATTTTGTGACTGTGTATATAAGTAAATCTTCGATCTCCTTGACATTCTAAAAAGAGAAAAGATGCTTTGGGCAAAAAGGTAGTTGAACAGTATATCGTTTTCCCTAAATTCCCTCCTTGTCCCAACAACCCTTTATTTTTTATTTATTTATTTATTATTTTTTTTACACTCTTTAGGTTGTTTGGTAGGTGTGTTTATTTAAACATTCATCACGTGTCAATGATTTATTTTATTTTTTTGGTTTTATTTATGGTCTTTGTTTTTTGCTAGCAATGGTAGGTGTGTTGTGTTGTTGAATCAGTCGTCACGTGTGGCAATGAATTTTTTGTTTTTTTGTTTTATTTATCGTCTTTGTTTTTTGCTAGCAATGTTGCGTCTCATCACTATTAACCTTGTTCCACACGTTGCAACACCATCTTTTTTTTTGTTGGGGGTGATAATTCTCAATGATAAGATATATGTACAACTATAGGAGTAGTCAAATCTCAATTGATAAAATTCTGCATTGTTAAGATATGTACAAGTGTTATAGAGTATTGGTCTTTTGACATGTATTCTTTATTGACGTGCATAGTTATCGAATTGCTGTTCATGTTTTGGATTTTTTGACTGTGTATATAAGTAAATCTCACTTTATACTACAAAACGATTTTTTGGTATGGCTCTTTTGGCATGTATTCTTTATTGGTGATTATCATGTTAATTCGAAACGAAATCAAAGCTATTTTTACGTCTTTCCTTTCATTTATCCTTGTTTGTCTTCCACTCCTCACCCTACAATCAAAGATCCATTATTTTTCCAATAAATCTCACTTTATACAAAATAATACGGAGTAATTTAAGTTAATCAACTTCGATATAAAAAAGCCTCAAAAACTCGTGCACAAAATAACTTTTGATGAATTTGTTGTCCACCTAAATCATCAATTTAATATATCAATATGTATCTATCTTCCAGTGTTCCACCTCACCCATGACTAAAACTCATGTCCATCAATGAGTCAATAACCTTATACTCCCATGCCCATAATATTAGCGGACGAATATTAGCATTCAATGAGTCTACTCTGTATCATATGATCTTGATTGAACCATTATAATTTTAGCCCCTATTCGACCCATATAAATTAAGGATAAACCCGAATTCGTCTTGACCCAAATTCAGTTTGGACTCAAACAATCAGTACAAGAGTAAATATACTGATATACTGATTATGTTCAGAAATCTTGGAGAGAAAAAACAGTGTCAAAAATGGCAAGAGCAGCAGTCTCAGCATCCCTAAAACTCTTCTCTCTCAAATTATCTTCTCAATCTCTCTCCTCCATTCCCACTTCCCTCTCCTTCACCACTTTCCATGCTCCTTCTTCCTCCCAGAAGAAGAAGCAGGAAAGGAGGAGAGAGATTGAGAAGAACAAGAAGAAGACGGCAGCCTCTTCGCCGTCTTCTTCTTCCGCCATTGTTGTAGCTTCAAGCTCATCGAAATCGAAGTCGAAAGCGGCTTTGGCTTTCGTGAAGAGGAGGACGAGGTCTGAGAGGGAATTCGATGAGGAGTATATGAAGAAATACGGGGATGAAGATAGTCATATTCCTGTTATGCTTGGTGAGGTTATGGATGTGTTTGATTCTTCTTCGTCTTCGTTTCGCCTTCGTTCGTTTGTTGATTGTACCCTTGGTGCTGCTGGTCATTCTTGCGCTGTTAGTTTTCTTTCTCTCTTATGAATTTTTATTTAATTTAATTGCAATTTGGTGTTAGAAATTGAGGTTATTGAAATTGTTTGATTAGTGTATGTTTTGTTGGATAAATTCAACTTATTTGATTGAAATGTTGATGGTGTTGGTTGGTTTTGTGTGCGAATTTGTTATTGAAACTATTAGTGTTGTATGTTAAATTGTTAATTGCACCGGTTCCTTATCTACCTTATGGAAGGATAGGGTTATGGTACCGCTTTCGAGTACGAGTTTTAATCTTGGCATTTGGCATTTGAATCTTTGGTAGTCACTAATGGTATTCTGAAGTCAATTGAGTAGAAGGAATGTTGGCAAATGAGTAATAATGTGTTTCAGTTCTAGGTGCATTTAGCTGTATGTACGAAATTGTGAAATGGTGGAGAACCGTCGTAAATAGTGCTGTTATTTAACAAAAAAAAAAAGGGCCACTATCGAATTCTTTGTTGTCTGTTGCAGTTACCATTGTGTTCATAGAAGGAGCAACAAAATGAAAAACCCTAATAGCCAATTGATTTTAAGATGGAACCTCACTTTGGGTTATGTTAGTAGGCTTCTTGTCTCCTTTATCCATTATAACACAAAATAAAGCACTATAGGAAGTGATGACAATGAATGAGAATCAAGCTTTATACACATACGCTTTGTTTGGATAGCAAAGAAGGGAGGAAAAGAAGGGGAGGGAAAATGGAGGAAGGGAAGGGAAAAGAAAGGGAGGGGAAGGTGAGCTCCATTTTCCCTCCAAATCTCTCCAATTTTGGAGAGATTATGGTTATTATAGAGAAAGGGAAAATGGATCCCTCCCTCTCCTTCCCCTTCCTTCCCCCAATCTTTTACCCAAACAAGAGATTTTGTCCCCCTCCATTTCTCTTCTCTTCTTTTCCTTCCATTTCTTCCTATCCAAACAAAGTGATAATTGCCTTGCTTTAATAGTTGTGTTGTTAAGCTAAGTGTTGTGCTGCTCACTTGATTAAAGCTCCCTTGGGTGAGTTGGGTCAAAAGACACTTAGCACAAGTACATTCTCGTCAACACTGTTTGTGTTTGCTACCTGCATACATGTGCTCTGTCCCTTGCTCTTGTTGCCAATAAGCAAGTCCTTTCTAGATCAAAAGTTTGCTTGTGCTTTAAAGACCCTTCCTGGCACAAGGCTTGTGCCTTTGCCACCAAAGAGGCAAGAGCATGCCACTCCATAAAATCTGGTGTCAAAACACGTAGACCATCTTCCGTGACACCATGCACCTCAGATTAATTATCAAATCGACCTATGCATGATTCCTCAACTTCTTGTTGATAGACCTCAACCAAAGATCATTATTGAAGTTTGTTATTTATATGATTGTACACCATATAAACAAAGATCCTGTGCTCCAATTATCGTATGGCAATCAGATAAGTTTCACCCTTTCTACCAACCTTACATATCTAGCATAAATATTCTTAAAAAGAAACTAGATACGGAGTATTACATTTTGTTGTGTAAGGTGCCATGTAAAATTCCACTGGAAAAAAACCTAATATTTGCTCAAGAAACTTCATGGATTGGAGAGATAGAGAGAACTATTCGTTTTTTTTATAATTTTAATTTTATTTTTATTTAAGGGAGGCTTAATTGAGGTTCTGGCTAATCAAGCTCATCACTTCAAGTTCAAGAAAAGCAAATTGGAAAACATAATGAGGTCCTAGAAGCTTTAAAAACATTGGACTATTGGAGATTGGATTCTAACACATGGCTAATACAGTTTGAGAGTCATTTATGGTTGGTCTGACCAATATGCAACAACAAAGCCTTAGTCCCAAAATGAGTCTGACCAATATAATGTAATACATTTTGGTGAGCTTTTGGGATTAGAACCTATCATGATATTCCAGCGGTCCAGCCCTTTTAGAAGTTTGTTGCTGATGTTTTATTACTTCTTTAAGTCTATGTTTTCTGCATTGAAGAATTGAAGTTATCTATAGTGGTAATGCTATTGCGTAACTTTATGTCATTAATTGGAGGGTTTTCTTCCTAGTAGAGTAGTATATATCTTGTATGGTTTACATGTCTCATGTTAAATACGAGTATCCATATGTTTTCCCCTTTATATCATGAATACTAATTTAATCAGTTGACATGGAGGGTACTAATAAAAGTTCATTATTTCTGATGCTGATAATTTTAAATACAACCCGCAGATAATTCAAGCTCATCCTGAACTGCAAACATACATTGGATTAGATGTTGATCCTGTGGCCCATGAGGAGGCTCAATCTCGAATCAATAATATGCTGAACAGCACGCCTGCTTGTTCAAGTACCAATCTGAAAGCTCATATGCTTTTGAAGAACTTCAAAGAAATCAAACAAGCAATTGGTCAGGTTGATGAAAAGCTTTTACTCTCTGGAGTTGATGGGATTTTGATGGACTTAGGGATGTCTTCCATGCAGGTAAGCTTGTAAACACACTCTGTAGCCTGCAGTAGTACACTAGTACAATTGAAATTTTTAGTATTCTATAGATACATATATTCTTCTATGATTTTCAAATTGATCTTCTTTTAGATGGTAGCCTTCTCATTTCCTAATACCAGACCATAAACTCCATATACCCATTTTCTTTGTCCTGTCTATCATGCAATTCTTTATCTCTTCATTCCAACTCTCGCTTGGTGCAAACTAAGAATGACAATGGGTCAGACCACATAGGATCTGACTCTGGCCCATAGAAGCATTTATAAGCTAATCTATTACTTTTCATATCTAAAACAAGTATAAGCAATCATCGTTTCATTGAGAGGAAAAGATGAGGGACAGTAAAATTGATTTTATCTCCGTTATAATTTATATTACTAAGTTAATTTCTTGGCTTCATGATTTAAATTTGCAAATTGATGAGAAGGTTTTGGCTTATGGATTTAAATCTCTTAACTGTTTATTGAAGAGTGCAAATGAAGTTGAACAGCAATAAGGTTTGGAAATATAAATAAAAAATCTCTCGGTAATTATGATTCACGGGTTCATTTCATTACAAATCAAAATCTAACTGGGTTCTCTCGGACTTTTTTCTTCGGATGAAGTCGTACTCAAATTGGTTCAAACTAAATTGTCATCCCTAGCACAGTAACTTTTATCTTCTATGGGGCTGCATGACCTGTAACCACTGCAATCTAACTTTGATAGAATTGGAGCTTGAGAGTCATAGCCTAGAATTAACTCAATGAAGTACCTCTTGTTTTTTGAGTCCCTACATTTTCTTTTACAGATTTCCCATATCTGGATGCAGTAAAATGTTGGTTTATCTTCACATCTCCATCATCTCAACCTGCTGCTCTTTTGCATAGTTCTTCCCACCCTTCTATGTTAGCTGATTGAATTATGGTCTATGTATCTGTTTGGTAGAGAGTAGATTTGGGCAAAATGAGTAGACCCGATTCCAATTAGTGGATTGAACTGGTCAATCTACTATTCAATATTTTTCGGTAAAGAGCGAATTGAAATGAATCTACAATTTTGTTAATTGCTAAATAAAGGAGCATTTTATTAATAGATTTTACCTCCTTGAAATTAGTACTCATTTTTAAAAAAAAAACTATATCATAGTTAACTTATGTTACTGTTGCGGAGGATGCTGGGTGCTTTTAGTGATGACGTTGCGGAGGCTCTTGCTGCTCGTCACTCAATGTCTATTGCCTTGGATGCAGGCCTTCGAAACGTGATTCTTGAAACTGATAATAGCAAACTGTTTCATTATTTGAAGATACAAAAGAAGGAAGTTTCTGGTTTTGGTCTGATTGTGAGGAACATCCTTCTCCTTGCTAGTAGTTGCTCTACTTTTAATATTTCTCAAGTTGGTAGAAATGGGAATGTTGTAGCCCATAAATTAGCTCATGTTAGTAGGGAGTTTGGTGAGATGCGTGTTTGGATTGAGGATGCTCCTTCTTGTATTCTTCCTGCTGTTTTGCTAGACTCCTCTAGCCTTTAATTTTATAGTATGGTTACAGCTTGTCAAAAAAAAAAAAAAAAAAAAAACTTATGTTACTGTGTACTCATAAAATATAATATTCTTATTTTTCTTTTTTATCTACTATCTGCTGGTCTAATTTGTTAATAAAAAAACTATTGTCTGAAATTGTGATTGATGAATTGCATCAACTCATTTATCTTTAAAGAAATTGTGATTGATGAATTGCATTAACTCATTTATCTTTAGCAGCAGAGAATCATATTTGGAATTTAATGTTGATTATTACTCAGATAATAAAATTGAAGCTTCGACATTTAGTCTGAAATTTCGTTTTATGTTTATAAGTATGCTTGAGGCATTCAATCCATTTTTGTCTTGTTGCAATATATGTTGGTATATTTATTTGTCCTCAATAAGATTACCATCCTCATGAGCTTGTAGTGACCACTTCAAATTTGCAATTTGCAGGTTGATGATCCTAGAAGAGGATTCAGCATGCTTAACAATGGGCCACTTGACATGCGAATGGATCCTAAGGTATGAGCAAGACTTCATATCACCCTTTTTCTCTCTGTTAGTTGTAAGTGCTATATTGCTGTGTCTTTATTTAAGGGATTGTACTACCAATTTTTCTTTTTTTACTAATTGAGATAAGAATCAGTTTCAGTTTCTATATATCTGATACATATGGGTTTATAAGAGCTATAAAAATAAAATAAAATAAAAATAAATAAAAATAAAAAATAATAATAATAATAATAATAAAAAAAAAAAAAAAAACAACCCACCACCCAGCATGATTATTTATTAGCAAGATTTGCAAAGGTACGGACAAGTGAAAATGTATGCCATTAATCTATTCTGAAGTTTAGCGGAGAGGATGTAATAGACTAGTACTCTAGTGTAAATTGAAAGCAATAAATATAGAAGGAAGGCTTCTTTGATAGATTAATTCAAGAACAAGGGAATACATTAGCAACTTTAGGCTGCAAGTCTCTTCAGCAACTTGAGGTTGCAAATCTCAATGGATTCTTAGCAATTTTCTGGATAACTATTTCTAATGCAATTCTACTACTTATACTAAGATTACTAATGGTCCTAGAAACCTTAGGGATAACATGTGATACATTACTAATATGGAAAAACCATAATTGAACAAAGCTAAAGTTGATTGCCTTCCTTCCCTTCCCTCATCTTAATTAACCTTGTCAACTAGTGAGGAATTGCTTCCCCCATGCTCAATAGGTGCTGCCATGTCTTGGCTGTTGTTGACCTTCCCTTTTCTTGCCTTCCTCGAGTAAACCAAGAGAGGTGTTTGACCGGTTCGACTTGCTTGACCTCGGCTACTGAACCAGTCCATTACAGAGGAATATTTAGGGTAGTCTCTTGTTTTATTCTAATACATACGGTTTTAGATTTTGGTTGGTTCTCCGCAAGTTTAGAATTTTCCTGTCCTATGGTGTGCTCAATACCTTTATTTTATACTTTGTGTGTGTGCTTGTGGGTGTGGGTCTTTTTTTGTGTGGGCGCGGGGGGGTTGTTTGTTAGGGGGGGAAGCAGGGGGGTTGTTTGTTAGGGGGGAAGCAGGGGTGGATAAGGGGCTAGATCTTCATTAATTGCCATGTTTTGCTGGAATGCAGGAAGTACATAGCCTCCTATCTCTTGTGTAAATCTTGTTAAAATTTTGGTATTAATTATGTGATTAACTGAATGGAACAGGAATGTAACAGGGTAGTTTAAAAGCAGAGGATATACTCAATTCTTGGCCACCAACTGAAGTTGGGAAAATCCTTCAGGAGTATGGAGAAGAAAGTAACTGGTATTCTCTCCAGAACAAGATTGTCAAGGCTCGTCTAGGTGGCGGATTTCATACAACTGGTGATTTGGTGGATCTTATTCGCGGCTCTACATCTAGGGTGAAAGGTATGATTATAAAAGAGCTGACCGTCCATTGCAAGGCTATTATATATTACTAGTAAAAAGGAATGGCTTTTACAATAATTTCTCATGAAAAATACATCCTTAAATACCAAGTGTAATTTTTCTGGTATTAGAGGGGTTATATCATTTATTCTCAGGTTCGTGTTAATCTCTTCTTTGCCTAATGTCATTACCGTTAAACTAAATTAAAATGGTCGATGAATTTAAGTTTAATGATTGATTTTGCAAACCAAATTGTCATTATTCATGGGCATGTGCATGAAAAACTGATAATTCGAAGTTATTCAACAGGAGGTAGGCAGGGTTGGATAAAGACTGCTGCACGGGTTTTCCAAGCGTTAAGGATAGCAGTTAATGATGAACTCAAAACCTTGGAAAATTCTCTTTACAATTGCTTTGATTGCCTTAGTCCTGGTGGCAGGCTCGCAGTCATATCTTTCCACAGTTTGGAAGACAGGATTGTAAAACAGACTTTCCTCAACATCATCAATAACATTCCGAGAAAAGATGACACTATTATAGAAGAGGGAGGGTTTGGAGCTGAACCAAAAGAGTTCAACTATTATCCCGGCGAAAAGGAAGTTTGGATTAAACAAGTAGTTAAAGGCTCTTCTGGGGTAATCCTCACTAAGAGACCTATAACAGCAACTCCTAAGGAAGAGAAATTAAACTCGAGATGTAGGAGTGCAAAGCTCCGAGTGATTCAGAAGATGTAGGAGAAAGTTCAGATATTAATCAACTTTAGTCTGTGGAGGGAGAAATTTTGCTAGAATTATATGAACAGTATTAAGGCCTTAAGGGACAGCACAGCTTTTCATGTAAGACTGATTATTTACAAGTTCACATTTCTTACCTATTTTGGATTGCAATTGATTGTTACTCTATCTTCAGTTAAATATATAACAGGAATTACTTCATTTTATTGCCAGGGTATGTGTATATTAGTATAATATATGTAAATGACTGCCTGATTCTAAGATGGGGTGTTCTTGTGAACTAGAAACGCCTCGCTGTACATACATCAGGACAGTGCATAGCGTGCACGTGTCCATGTCCGTGTCTGTGTCCTGTGCTCGCAGGGATGCGTCTCTTGCATATGCCACCCGGAAAGCCTCCAGGTGTACTTTTCTTCAGGTATAGAGTTGATGATCAACAAGGTAACAAGTATGACTACTTGCAAAACTGTTGAAGGGTCAAATCAACGCATGCAAACTAAACACTTAGCTCAGCGCCTCAGCCACTAGAAGGCGGCTTAGACGAATGCTGTTATTTTGTTTTGTTGTTAAAAAGATGGCGTGATTGTTTTACTAGTCCGCAAGTATATTAAGGGGTAGGTGCTTGGCGATATGGGGTAGAATGCAATGATATCCATGCCGCTTTCCTACATGAAATTCGTTGGAATTTCTCGCCTGCTTTAGTAATCCTTTGCTTTGTCACAACTTATGCCTTGTTGTAATCTGATTTTGTAACTAAGACCCTGTTTGATTTAATGTAAAAGGTTTTCATGAAAATAAAGTTTTCATTTTTTTTCCATTTTCCTTTGTTTGGTTTGTTAAGGGGCGGAAACAATTTTTTTAAGGGTGGAAAATTTCATCCTTAATAATGGAAAACATTTTCCTTCTCAAAACAAGGGAAGCTACATTTTCCTCTCTCATCCTTACCTCTTTTTTTACTTCCCTCTCATCCATCCTTACATTTCCACTCTTATTTTTTATTTTTCTAAGGAAAACTAATTTGCAATTGTGTTTTTCCTTAAAAATATGTTTTCCATTGAAAATGTTTTACATAAAACCAAACGGGGCCTAACTTTCTGCACTAGTTATATAACATACATCTTTATTATTATTATTATTAAATTACGAAACAAAAGTATGTAAGTTGTTGTAAGGTGTGTGTATATATATAAATTACAATAATTAAATATATCGATTTGATAGTCAAATTTGTGTATTGACAATTGTGTCTAGTCAATTTCGTCAACTAAATAGAAATAGAGGGATTAATAACATTGGCAAATTATGATCACTATTGCTACTTGTCCCTCTTTTATAAAAGACTGTCTTATTTGACTTTTCATAACCTTTAAAACGCATATAAAACTTTATATATGAATAAAAATTATTTAAAACATTTAAAATGGATACACTATGATTGTACATGATTATTAATTCTTATAAATTAGAGGATATACAATGAAGTATCCATATTTTGTAAATGAAAGGATTACTAACTACTACCCACCCAACAACCCCTTAAGAGTACAAGCTTCACATCACATTTATGTTTCCATAAAGGCTATGTGGATTACTTCGGATTAATAATGATGTTTAATACCTTATTACTTATAAAATAATATTAGTAAAACAAATTTGATACGATTGAACACAATACAATTACATGCACCATAATGTATATGGTATAGGAATTTGAACTTGTGCTTAAATTTTCAATCTTAACCACTAAGTCAAGACCTCATCATAGTTATCTCTATTATTACGTTAAACCCTTGTAATTTACCTACAATTACCTCGATTAGCGTGTGCTAATCAGTGTGAACTTTATAAGATAAAATTACACAAATAGCCCATGATGTAGGGCCAGTCGGCCAGATAAAACGAATCATAGATGAAGGAGAATATGTGTGAGATTCAATTTGCAAAGAACCCTTGAATAATGGCTAAAAATGATGTAAAGTAATTTTCAATCACTTTTTTTCCGACACAATTACTGCCCCATAATGTGTCACCGTGTCATTTTGCTTTTCTTCTTCCCACCAACTTTTTCCTTAATTTAGTACTTCAAATTTAAACTAAAGAATCGTACTACAATACTAGTCTTCTACCAAGTACTTTGAGATTTTGACTAAAACATTGGAATATAAAATGTCTCATCTTTTTTCGTCTTTTTTAAACTTATCTTCGTATATTTTTTTCTTTTAGTTGATTATTTGATAAGACTTTCAAATTAATTTAGGTATCCTTTATAATTTAACAATATTTGTTTTAAGAATGTACTCGAATAAAATGTACAATGCATGAGATAAATCTTCTACTACGTAATGATTTTGAATAGCTATTGAAAAAGATTAGTAATTTATCTAATTTTTTTAAATATAGATAGAATTTTAGAGTTGAGGTTTTGGAGAATTGTGATAGAAAAGCTATAAATTATAGAATATATATTGCTTTTGACTTTCTCTACTCGAGTTTAAGGTAATAGTTATCCAATTTTGAAAAATCTAATTCAGTCTAAACTCAATAGCATTGTGTAGTAAATGACTTTTTATTGATTTTTTTTTTATTAGTGGTTGACTTTTAACCTTTTCATTTGGTCAAACAACCAAAAATTTTATTTGATAAATGACTTTTTAAACTAGCTGAAGGGTTAAACTCAAAATGAAAAACTGCTTGGAGTAGCTTTTATTTTTAGCTTTTGAATATCAAGTTACTAATAGTATCTATCAGCACCAAAGGTTCAAAAATGTTATTAGACCGATAAAAAATCAAACTACAAACAAACATCCAATTAATAAAACCAACCAAACCGTCAACGACCTATTGCCAAACAAAGTCAATAACAAATTAGAATTATATTAATAGAAACATAGTCCATGGATTGTTGTACATCAATTGGATTGAAGTAGAATCAAATTCAAACCGAAAACCAAACTTTTACCCGCATCCTTAAATTATAAATTGTGTGCCTACTAATATCTCAACTAACAATAGATGGAAACAGTTTACCACAATTAGAAAAGAAAATTAGGCAGACTACCCAAAACATCCCTTGGATAAATGGGTAAGACACAGTAAGCTAATCATAATCATTTTACACTTTTAACACCCATATAATATAAGCTAATCATAATCTATCTTATACTTCTTGAGTTAGTTCTTGAAGTTAAAGTTGCTTACTTTTCTTCATTTCTTTTTCCCTTTTTCTTTCTCTCTCTAAAAATGAACTCACAAAATGAAGAACAAGCTGTAACTACAGAGAAAACTACTGCTGCTACTGCTGTTTCTGCAACAGTTTCAAGCAGAAACAATGGAAGAATAAAAACCCCTTCAAATTTCATAGGAAGACATCGTTTACAAGCTGCAATTTCTCATCTTGACCAACAAATCCAGTATATTCAGGTTCATTATTCTTTCATTATTGTCCAACTGATTTCTAATACAGTAATAATACGTACTCCCTCTGTCCGGAATTAATAGTTACGTGTAACTTGAACTAATAATGTGACAATTAAATCGAAACAGGGGAAGTAGATTATTTTTTTTATTTGGGATTTCTACATTATTTTATTCTAGCTCAATTCAATAATTATGTTCCTAATTTTTTTCATATATGTGGTTTTAGAGTGAATTAGATGACCTTGATACAATTGGTGGACCTTCCACAGTTTGCAATGAGTAAGTTAAACTTCCTCTAAATCATTTTGGGTTTATTTTCCTAAATATATTATTCTTAATTAATTAACCATTTTCTGTAATTTATAAAAACAGAATAATATCAGGAATTGAATCAGTTCCAGACCCTCTTCTTCCAATGTAAGAACCCATTATTTATTTATTTGTTATTTAAATCATAATTATAAGAATCTAATGTTATTACTTACAATATATAATTAATATTTAATATAACACTTGTATTAATTTTTATAAAAAAATCTGGGATGTTTACAGGACAAAAGGGCCAGTGGATGTAAACTGGGAGAGATGGTTTGGAGGAGCAAGCAGTTCAAGAAGTCACAGGCGTTGGATCTGAACAACGCATTACAACAAACGACAAACAGATGCAGTCTCCGTGACACAAAATCATTACTGTATTTTGTTTGACTAATCATATCTAGTCGACATGTTTGTTATCTAACACCTTATAGAATAATTATATTAAATTACGAGTTTGGGTCCTATCTTATTTTGCATGTTTAATGTTTATATTATATGTTTGGGTGTGCGTAGAAATAGGTATCGCGCACCCAAATTTGTTAGGAGGTCGATCTCATGTACTTTAAGACCTAGTCTTTAGTTTAAAAAACAATTGTGTTAAGGTGTTAGATATCAAACATGTTGGTTGTTAAGTTTATTAATATTTGACGGGTTGTCAATCCTAGATTTGTGGTGGCAATGTGTACTTTTGTTTAAAATTATCCCCGCCTTTGCACACCAATTTGCATTGTCAAAAAGCCAAAATAGGATGAAAATGAGTGAAGTGATTAACATGATTGATGTTATGGAGTAAAATGTTTGTAACACAGGACATGAATGAATGATTGAATGCAACATTAGAAAGCATGACAAATCCATCTAATATATGGGTTTAAAAAAAAATCCCATTTTATTGGAAATTTATGAGGCTTTTAGACAAAAAATGAGGACAATTATGAAAGAATACGAAGGAAATCCCCCAAAAATTGGATGATTTTTCTATCTATGAGGTAAGATTATTAGGAATCACAAAGACATTATATAAACTACTCAAATGTTAATAAAGCATAAACCTCAATTGATAATTTGATAATCTCTTCCTCAATGTCAAAACGACGAGAGATTATAATCAGTCTAAGAATGAGGCTAAATAGAGCTCATTTAATTAGCTCTAATAGAGAACACCTACATTTCTAATTGCTTTGAAGATTATAGTAGAAATTAAAAGAATAAAAACAAATGCCAAGAGATAGTTAAAGAAGGTTGTTGAGATGATAAACAATGGAAATATTAACTAATAATTAACTCGTACAAATGTACATAATTTTCATTTATTTTCCTTATTATTGGTAGAGAGAAAAGTAGAGGTTATGAAACAAGGATATGATGTGCTAATAAAGATGATGTCCCAACTCCCAAATGGTTTTATTCGAATTTTGTTTCTTTTCATTTTATTTTATTTTATTTTTTTAAATTTTTTTTACCTTGTCAAATAAAGGGGAGTTTTCTACAAAGAAGAGTAACTCATGATATTTTAGAATAAATCAATAGAATAAGTTTTGTGCTGTAAAAATCATGTCTCTAAAGAGCATTCTATATTCTTTATAGACAAATATAAAAGTGACTTAATTTTGAATTTAAAAATGGACTTTACTCCCTGACTCCCTCCTCTTCATGGTTTTTTAATTTTTTTAATTTTTTTTTTATTTTACAAAGAACATTTAGAAATAGTACTCCGACAGAGTATATTATTAATAAAAATAAATATATAAATAAATAAAAGGGTTTTTATAGATTCATACCAAAAGCTCTAAATTTCAAAGCATTCATATAGTGCATTCAATCATATCGTTTAAGACAAGTTTGAGGAAGACCTGGCTAACAAAAAGTTCAGATATAGGGCATACTGCTGCTATTATCAGCCTGCATAAAGTTTATCTTGGCTTTACTATATCTATAACACCCCAAATCTAAAGTCCCGTTGTAAAATTAGTACCTTTTCGCTTTCGACCTTTGTATTTCTTGCGATTTTCCAAGGAATTTGAAGTTGCACAATTAAGCATGCATGAAATCCAGGTATAAGGGCCAACCCAGGAGATATTTACATGCCTATACATGATAGTAAAAAGAAGGGACGAGTTATAAGATGAACCTGGAAAAGGGGTTGTGTTTTGAGAAGACAACAAAAGGCCTTTTCATTGATCAACCGGTATAGCAAAAATCCAAGTATTTGTGTTCATAAAGCTATTCTACAGCTCCATTCAACTATAAATGGAGAAACCAATATAATACAATGAAATCCACACCGGCAATTGCAAACCTAGATCAAAGGGGATTCTTTGACATCAAAATTGATCCCCTCGCCCTCTCTTCTCAAACATCACGATACAGCAGGCACATCTCAATCCCCTGTCGGAAGTGGGGAAAAATCCTCCAATATACAACGAAAACAAAGCCAAGAGATACCAAAATGACAGCCACCCTGCACCACACAATAACAAGGGTTCAGCGTAAGCAATGACATCTAAAAAAAGGTGGAAATTTTAGGAAAAAATGTACATGAAAATTAACAGCTAAAGCCTCATCGTTAAAAAGGCTACATATTAATAGTTTCTACATTTTCACAAAATACATTTTGGCTTATCAACTTTCAGCAAATTTATGGATGAATCACTAAATTTAAAAATTCAAAAAAAAAATGATGATAAATTCTTCCCTCAAAATTTCATAGATTCTGCACCTTGCAACACAGTTTACCTACTAATCTTTTGAGCAACAAAGAACCAAGCCCAATTAAAATCAGCAGATAGTACAAGTAAATATCAGATTGCAATTCTAAATAAAATTGTCAGATCAGCACATATGCATACTTTGCTATACATTATATAGCACAAGGTAAAACATACACTAACGGAGTATCTGGATATCTTTGATTTACAAGCAACTGTACTCTATAGCTTAGCCCTCTTTTATCAGCATATTGAAATACAGTGGAATCGCCTTTCTTTAATGGGTCAAATTTACAATTTCTAACACTCCAGGCAGATACATTTTTTTTTATTATTATTTTACAATTGAATACTGAGGTTTGGAATTTTCTGCACGAAAGACTCTTTACCAAGCACCAACAAAATATATATTAACTCTATAGTGTGCTACACAAAACAAGTATTTCGGTAGCCAGTAAAAAAGTTCCTCCATAGTCCATATGAATGCCCTATTACAATGTGTTAAAGATGCTAGTCTCATTAGGTGGCAATTAATCATCTTTCCCAGTAGCTTAAATAGAAATTCTCACATCGCAGCAAGATATACCCAAAGATGCTCTGGAGAATATTTCAAAATGCATTATTCTGATGTAACAACTTCTATTTTGAGGATATGGAAGATGGAGAGGAAATAGAAGGGAACAGAGAAGAGGGAAGGCGGAGCGGGCAAACTTCACTCTTAATATTATCTTAATTAACAGCACTAATAATCTATAGCACATAACATCCGACTGAAGTCAACATCATGTAATGATCTGAAAATATAGACAGGATGCTAAAGGAGGAAGAGTGCGAATTTGACTGATGAAATAGAAATGCAGAAATTGTAAATGATAGTCAAGCTCTCGAGAGGTATAATTATCATTAAAATCAATCAATCATATTTTTCCGACTGATTCCCTCCTCTAACTGAATTTCCTCCCTAGTTGCTCAAGCAACCTCTAAGTGAAAGATAATTACATTTCCTAATATGCCCTTACCCTATACTCAATGCATTACACTTTATATGGTGATAAGGGTTTACAAGATGCTTCTCCATAAATATAGCAATAGAATGACAGCAAACTAATCAAAAAGAATTCCCCCATCCTCAAACAGACAGTAAACTCTAATCAGCCTTAAGTATTTGGAGACTTTACAAATGCAAACACATAAATCACCAAAACAAATTCCCTAATGTAAAGCCATTTCCCTTTCAAATAACACTATTTCCTCATAATTCTATCTCCCTTTTTTTCATAGATACATAAGAAATGCAGACAAATGGCTGTATAAGGAACCAAAGGACAATTGATACCAGGAAACACCTACAGCATCGACATTGACTTACCAGGAAACACCTAAAAGTAACACAAACATACGTGGACACACACACACAACAACAACAACAACAAAAAATGATTGAGCAGTAAATTCCTCACCTTGAAAAAGTCAAAGCAAGACATGCTCCCAGTACTATAAATAAACAATATAAAGATTTAGAATCCAGTCCTTTAGACCACTTGTGAAGCAGAATTAGAAGTCAACAGTGTTCCACGAAACCCTTCTTCAGCTTCTCGCACATCAAACTTCTGCTCTGAAAGTTCATCTGAGATTTAAGTGAATTAGATCATATAACAGAATACCAATAGTGTTCGGCACCAAATGAAAATGGATAGAAACCATAGTTCCACATTGGGAATCTCAAGAAATATAGGATCATATTGAAATCTTAAAAAAGATTTTACTTTACGGCATCATCTCATGTTGTTACTTTTTAAAATGTCAATACAGTTTCTAGAACCAAAAATAATAAATTCAAAGCTACAAGCAGAGCGCGCCAACAAGCAACGGACACATATCATTGCAATAATGCTAAGCAAAGGAAGACAAAAGGCAAACAACAAAAAACGACATCAGAGACCGGGATTTGTGCAGGCAATAACACAAGCATCCAAAACACAGCTTACAAAAATGTCTGCCAGCAATCCACAATAACAATAGTATTGGGCAAACATTTCAGTTGCGAAATGTGAAACAATTAAGAGATGCTTTACTAGAATTTCTGGTTACTTTTCTGTAGGAAGAGGAAAAATCAAGAAGCTACCCTTAAATTTTGGTTAGTTACAACCAGGACCACTAATAAGCATCAATTTTAATTAAGGTCTCAGATTTGGGACGGAGGTACCAACAATTCAATTCGCAAACCACTGCGAATTGGGAAGCCGGCAAACAGTGACTTGGTTTGTGCAAACCCAATCGAGATTCATGGGGTTAGGTGTGAATCTGGTAATGGTGATTCCAACCCATAATCATCATAATTAAGGAAATAACAATAAAAATTGCACAATAGAACATTCGAATTGATAGTATATTCCATTACTGATCATGAGGATGATATATTGCTATTACCAGCTATATCACGATACTCATGGATTTCTGAATCAGTCACCCATAGCACATCTGCAGGGAATATGTTGAGATCAGCAAGAGTATCAGCTTCACCTTCAATCACCTTGGATCCTTTATGAAGTATTTGGTTTTCTTTAACCACCTGCATATAACATGCCTTCTTATCAACACATGTAAAGATTATCCATCAAACAGCAAGTGCACACTACACAGACAGCAAAGGGACATTATAGAAAAGGAAAAAGAATTGCCAGAGCCTAATTTGAATTTTAACTTATTTTCTGGGCATTTGAAAGTTTCCTTCCAATCATTGTGCTAATTCCACAGCTAATGCTTCATTAATTGTCAGCAGAACATAAAGGGTACTTCACAATTAGAAAAATTACACTCCATTTTTTTAAAGAAATTGCTATCTTGATATCCATGGTGTTCAAGTTTTCTTCTCCAGACCTAATTTTCTATAACTGCTCTGTTCTAACAATATCCTACTGGTAAAATAATAATCAGATCTCCATATTCTCAAGCAATAACGATGGGAATGAGACAGACAAAGATTTTCCATCTTTAAGTTCTCTTTACAATTTAGATTTTAGCATTAAAGTAACTTTTTGCAAGAAATTGTACTAATCCTCTTCTTTGAGGAACAGTGGGACAGTGGGAAACTAAGCTGCATCAAATTCAGCATTTTCCTATCCGAAGATTAATAAAACACACAAACAACCTTTTTGTAAGAAAAAAAGAAGCGTAAGAAGGATTCCATAAATATTCTGCTACAGGGGTGAACGGAAGAAAATGAAATGGGCACTTCATAAGTGTTTCCTTCAAATAATAAGGTGGTCCATGCCCTAACAAGAATTTTTTACATCCTAAAACAATAATAAAATTTTCTGCTGAACCTCTGAGCAGTAAACAGACGACAACAAGACTTCAACATAGTTATCCGTAGGTTTCTTACAAAACTATAAATATAATAAAAATAAAAAGTAGCAGAACAGTATTTCTGTAAAATATTATCACTATCAAATGGTGACACAGGGCTTTGACTGAACACCTTAAATATCAGCCATAGAGACTTAAATACAAAATATAAAGTTATTTCTACTAAAGCTGAAAAAGGGAATTTTGAAAGGATGCAACCTAACCCGAAAGATTCCCAAGTATGCAGACAACAAGACATTAACATGGTTATTCATTTTTATTTTTATTTTTTACCTATTTTAAAATAAATTTAAATTAAAAATTATAAAATAATTTTAAAAATAAACCAACCATAAAACAGAAATTTAACCACTATCAAATTGTGACAGAGAGCTCTGGCGAACACCTTCAAAATCAACCATAAAGACTTGAAAGCAAAATATAAAGTATCTTGCTAATAAAGCTGCAAAAGGAAAGTTTGAAGAGATGCAACCTACCCCGAAAGATTCCCAGATCATCATCTTTAACTGATAAATTGTTGTAGAACCTGAAACTGTTAAATTCTTGGAATTTCCAAATGATGTCTTTCTAGAACGCTTGGAGGTCCGACGATCTGCCTCACAATTGTTCCCAGAAGCTTCTAAAATAGATTTGGGAGGTTCCTTACCGCGTACAAAGCAAACACAAATGTCCTCATTACTATAATTAAGCCTCCGCATTAACTCACAGCTTTCCTTTTCTCCAATGCATTCTTCACATACCTTAGAATAAAACAATAAATGGCAATAAGAAGTAGACAAGAGACAAGCTAGCAATCAATATAAAACAACAACAGCAAAGCCTTAGTCCCAAAATGATTTGGGATCGGCTAACATGAATCGTCATAAGGAACCGTACGATATAAAGAAAGGGGCATAACAAGATAAACATTTGAAAGAGTTTGAAAAAAGGTGGGTATTAAGATGAAAAAAAAAAAAACAAAAAAACAAACAAACAAATTTAGTCATGAGCTTCTCCCACAAACATAGAGATTCAAAGATGAAAGTGTTAAGATATATAAACCAAAAACATATTAGTAAAATAAATTCCAGCCCTTAACAAAGTTGCATGATTTCCTATTCTGGGCATCCCGAAATACTTGGCACTTTCTCATGTGGTTATCTTTCTCTACACACAAAATCTCATTCATTTTAACTCTCTCCAATCATTTTTTCTAACAATTTCTCTTTACCCACTTTCTCTTACTTTTCAACCTCCCTCTCCTCACAGTCTATTCCTGTATTCATATAAAAATAACAATTCTTAATCTCTATGGCAAACACAATCATGCAGCTCAACTCGCAAGTTGCAACAAAGGGGGCAACATAAAACAAGTTTGAAAATCAACCAAACCCTTATGCCAAGGAAGAATAGATCAATATACATACATGTGCAAGTAATAAAGGGTAGGCCAACATGCACAGACAAACACCTCCCCTGCCATCTACTGCCTCAGCTATAAGCCTATAACCCACTATGTCATGCTGAGCCAACTTTTCATTTCATTTAAAAGTTGAGTCAGTATAAGCTTAACTTCTGCAAATCTCGAGCACAATAGCTACAGAAAAGAAGAAATGCAACACCTACCATTCACTTGATATCTGACAATAGAATCAAGGAAAAACAGATATGCATATTATGCCTCATACAAAGAAGCCAACCAATGTTACTACCCCCCCCCCCCCCCCCCCGTAGACCCCTAGTTTTTTAGTTTCCAAGGAAGCCAATAGGTCACATCACAAGAAACAAGTGGGCCACAATTATTTCAATGGGCTTTCTTTTATTAAAAGTAACTGTTTGTATTTTTTTTTCCTTCTTTTTTTCTATTTCCAAAGATTTCTCAATCATTGAGTTATTCACTATTGTCCAAGAATTTGGAAGTTTCATAGATAGAAATTTATATCAATCATCAAGACTTCTCTCCAAGAATAATTCAGGAAATGGAGAGAATAACTCCTCCTGAGTCTATGATTAAAAAATAAAAATAAAATTTCTTCAAATTTTGTTAATTAGTGATTTATATACAGTTCTCTCGCTCTTGGAGAGATTTGTCAACCTAGTTTGTTTCCAGCTTGTATTCCAGCCGGAACACATAATATTCATACTAAATCATTTCTGTGATTGTTCCCCAAAGGCTTAGAAAAAGGTATCAATAGTGTGACAATAAAAAATAAAAAAAATAAAAGGAAACTACACAAGCCTCATCACCCAAAAAAAAAAAACACACACACACACACAAAGAAAATGAAAGTAGATCACTAAACACCCTTGATAAAAGAACGCATCAAGACACAAACACAAGGGGCATGAGCACATGCCGGAGGGGGGGGGCTTTCTTCATCAATGAATATACTATTCCAAAAAACAAAAAAAAAAAAAGCATCAATATTATGTCCCTCACGACCTTCTGCATTCATCAGATAAAAAATAGGGAGCAAATGTGATCATAAAAAAAAAAAAAAAAAAAAAAAAAAAGAGGAAACCTCTCAGCAACAGTTTCCGATTATCTGTTACAGACTCAAAAATTCAACAACAGTGTTACAAATATTATAGCGAAGCTCAGGAAATACCTCAGGAGAAGTCTTTATCACAGGCTCCCTAGACTCAAACTCATCACTTTGATCTTCGTTCATATGCTCCTCAGTAAATGGCATCTCCTGGCAATGTCCCTCAGCCGAGTTCTTAAATTCAATCTCAGCCAGTATGCCTCTCTCTTCTTTTCCATCCCATTCTTCACAAAAATGTCTCCAGTCACTTTCACTCACCATTAACAGGCCTTCTGTCTGAAATTGGAAAGAATAAACCAACTTTAAATCAGTGAGCAGACTTAAACAAAAGGCAAATTGAAAGTAAAGATAAACGTGGTACAGTAGCAGTGTGTGACACCACAAGGAGTATGAATCTGGTTTAACATCCATGACACTCATCAGCATGATTATGACATGGCAGGTAAGAGATATGGTTAATGGTTTTGTTAAAACTCACCGCAGAGAACTTCTGCAATATCACCCCACGTTTGCATGTCAAGCCCAAAGGCCTCTCCAGCAATCGAGAATGCTGAAAATAAAGTGGAAGAACAATCAGAACATTGAAGTAATTATTCACAAAAAAAGATAAACAAGAGTTTGTCATCTTCTATAGTGAACAAATTGACAGAGTTCTGCCACTGAGTATTCATAATTTTTCTATTTTGGAGCACTACTTTTCTACTTAACTTGCATATGTTTGATATAGTTAGCACAACTTTTCCTAATCACCTCCCTACCGACCTTACAAAAATGAACGGCATACTAACAGCAGGAAGAGTTCACAAAAGCACAGGATGGTAGAACTCACTGTGGTACATATAAGTGAACGGATAACACTATCCAGCCTCTCAGGCTTTGCCGTTGAAGAACTATTTTTGCCACTTGTATTAATATAGCTTCTCCATGTTGACAGCCAAAAAGATGGTAACAAGTAGTACTTGCAATTTGAAGAAAGTTGAACAGCCTTTCCAAGAGCCAATTTCTCATGGTTCTGGCGCTGCTTCAACTTGATTTCTCTGCAGCAAGACGAATGAATCAGCAATCTGTGGATATGCTTAAAACTAATAGTAATAGTATAGGGCCAAACCACCTTAGAGTATCCTCCCAAGAAGCAACCTCGGTGAGCTCCAAACAACACTCGGTACATGTCTCTGCATCTGATGAAAATGTTGAACATCCCAACTGATCATCTGGTTTTACCAGATTAGAATTTTCATACAGAAAAATCCAGAGACTCTCAGGGATTAACACTCGCTTAGCACCAGTAGCTTGCTCAGGCATGAGTTGCCCATGGGGGCACCTTATTGAAGCTGTAGGTCCTGCATCTGCTTCAGAGGGGTTATCGCTAGCTTTTCTCCGCAACCACTGCTGTAACCTATGAGAAAACTTCAATTATATTGCTACTCATCCAGGAAAAAAATAAAATGAAGCAAGAAGCTTGAAAAGGCAGACATAAAAATCCAAATATTTAATAATATAACAAAAGCTATCTTCTAATGTTAAATGCTAGCTAAGCAAAAAAAAAAAATCCACATGCAGCAGATACATTGACCACAAAAACAGTTTAAAGGAAATAGAATATCATACTCCTAAATGATGAAATTAAACAAAAGAAAATGAAAAGGCATTGTCATTCCCAAAACTCTTCTAGTAATTTGAAACAAAACTAAGTACAAAATGAACAAACAGTAAATACTAAGACATGGAAAACAGGAAAAAGGCCCTCCAACTTACCATGGTTTGGAGATATAATACTGTTTACCATCCGGACAACTCCCTGCAAGTGCAGCTTCCGCAAATTCTTTCATGTACGCCCTTCGATCTCGATAGCTATCAGCAGTAACAATGGCACGTGCAGAATCAGTTAAGCAAATCTTGCAAAAGTCATCCCTGCCCAGACAAGGACCTCCATTGTACTGTTACATATAAATTTTGTAAAAATGAGAAACAAAAAAAAAATCACAGTTTAAAGAGATTTAAATAAAACAGGATAAGAAAAAAATACATGTCAGGACACTAAGCTACAAGCCTACTAGCACAAGAAGCCTAGTCTCTCTTAAATTTAAGTCAAAATGAAGATAAATAAGCAGGTTACTAGATTGGTAACTTTGTATCTAGATAATATATACTCTATATTTTCAGTTAAAAATTGTCAACATAGGCGTTTGATTATTCGTATATTTTTTTTGCAAAACAAGGAAACTAGGAGTATGAGAGAAGATGGAGTAAATTTCAGAATAAAAAATGTGAAGATTCATGTACAGAAGCTAGAAACTGAAACAAAGAAGATAATTTTTTAAGCCAAAAATGAAATGAACAGAATACCAAAAAGAAGAGAAAAGGATGTAATTAGAATGCACATACTTCTTTTATCTACCATTTTTCAGTTTACATTCTACTTATAAAGTAGTTTTTTTTTTTTTTTTGAAGGCAACTTAAAAAGTAGTCTTATTTTGCATGAATTGCATAATTAGTGGAAGGAGGAAAGACGGTAAATATAAGAGTCGGAAGAGAGAAAGAGGAATTAGAAAATGATTCCAAAGAAGCAGACATTTGAGAGAAAATAAAAATGAATAATTATTAAAGATCTTGTCTTCTATTTTTATTTCTTTCAAATTGGGAGAGTACACAATCTACACATATCCTTAGAATTATATTTTATATGCTAGAAATTAGAAACTGCGACATTTATACGTTGAGCAAATAATTGAGATGGAGGTAATATTAAGATTAGAACAATATCCCTTTCATGATTAAATTTAAGTTTCCTAAATGTGAGGATGCCACATCCCATCCACATGGTACAAAGTTGATAAGATAATCTGCATTTTCCATAAACACGTAGACTGCCCTTTAGAAAAAAATCACAAAATTTGTTTAATTATTCAAGATAAAGATGAGTAGTCATAAAAATATCTTAACCCTACCTTTCCCTCAAAAAAAAAAAAAAAAAAAAACAAAAAAAAGAAGCTGAACAAGAGACCTATTGCAATACTAACATCAACTCGTTCAGTGCTATCAGTAAGCCAACATATCGCTTGTGATACCTTAAATAGGAATTTGATGTAAACCTTTACGACATACAAGTCACTACATGGAAATATTCCACACATTTATCTCACACAAAACATTCTCTTCCAATATGCCTAATCACTTCATATCCATGTTCACTTTCACGAATAATGTGAATTCAAACCCAGAATTGTTAGAATACTTCAGCCTAAAAGTAAGATCACCTCAATTTAGGGCAATGGTGGCAAATAGCACAACTGCTTCTTTCTTATTTTACAGGGAGAGTCTGCTATAATTTTTTATATGCCCAGAGTGAACAGGGTTAAATTCTGGATCAAGCCCAAGAGATGAGCAATCTGAGAAAGTACTTAGGTATTTCTGTGTGGTTACTTTAGGCAGCGATGCACATACTTGTACAATTTGGAAAAATCAATGTAATATTTCTAGTCACTAAGGATAATAATGAGTACATGACCAGTTGGTTTTGAATGTCACTGTAATGACTTATAAGTCTTTTGACTTATAAGTCTTTTGACTTATAATCACCTTAAAAGACAACTAAAATTGAGTAGAGGGAGTAGTTTACACCACATTATTACCCACCATCTGGAGAAGGAGAAAGGAATAAAGCAATAATTTTTTAAGCACTTGATTTTACAGTTTGGGAATGATGTAAACAATTTCCACATACATAGAAACAATTAAACGTCCTAGCCATACAAGGAATTCAAGCAGCATACCTTGGAGTATAACAAGGTCCAAGCTTTAGCTGACAACCGCTTCATGGCAACGATGTTTGACACTGGTACTTTCCCATGCATGCACTGAATATTGGTGTTGTCTATGGCACTGCCCGCAATAATAATGTTATCAAAACATAATGCCACTATCAAAAGAAATAACAAAAAAATGGGAGCAGAGCATAGAAGCTTTCACCAATGAGTTGCAAAAATAGGGTGTTGTGCTACCAAAAAAAAAGGACCATAAAAGTATTGAATCTGCCAATAGATCTTGGCCTCCCATTAACATAACTTGATTATGGTAGAGATAAAGAAATGATGGAGAGCAGAAAATACCCATGAGGATCATAGGGCTTCTTTAAGATAAAATGATAACAAACAGTAATTCATCATAAGATTCATAACCATGAATGCATATGAGAGCCTACTCCACTTTGCATCCTCCAATATTTACTATAAGGCTTAACATTATGAGCCAAATATTACTTCTCAACAAAAACTCTTATTTCCCAACACATAAGCCAGCTTAGACATCCATGGTCTAGGAAAAAAAACTTGGTCAATCTTCTAATAACCCCCCCCCCCCACTTTCTATGATATGTAACATTCAAATTAGATCAACAACTCTCTCCCCACCGGTTTTCTTTTAAAAATGAATCATCATTTCCTCAAGCCTTACTAATATAATCCAGCCATAAAAAATGGAACAATATTACTATACCAACTCATTCTATAGTATTAAACAAAACCAAACTCGTGTTTCCTTCTCATAGCAACTTGTTCAAGACAGTCAATTTCAAAATGAATATTCATTAAGTGCTTCATTTGCCAACCTAAATCATTAAGGAGCAAGGTGAACTCCCTTCAACACTACCTACGCTATCCAAGAGTCAACTATTAATAAGGATAGTCTGCACAGCATAGGAAGAACAGAGTCTAAGAACAAAAATGAATAGTAAATCGGCAAAAAGCCAGTCTAAACCTCAAAAATAAGTAGGTAATTTTAATACATGTAGAGTATTCTAATAATACACCTTAGAATGCCCACATAGTCCATATAATATTAGCCTAAAACTAGACTTTCTACTCAAAACAGCCTGAGGAAGTAGTTAACAAAGCATAAACATCCACTTCTGATGCATATCTCACATAAGCATCAGAATTAAACACACTAGAAAATAAAGTGAAGAGTAACATCAGAGCTTGGTACATATGGAGAAAAAAACGGCCACTTACGAGATAGTCACATTGTCAGCCCATTGTCGTAGCCAATCCATAGATATCCAGAAATATGGTTCTTCAAGGGAAAGAACAGGTGCCTCAGAAAGAATAGAACGGACTTCTTGTCTTCGCTCTGTGATGGTGTTTATTTCCTGTTCCTTTCTCGTATTGTAATTTTCACACAATTCAAGGTAAATATCATTTTGTGCTTTTATATCATCAGCAAGATGAGGTGGAAGTGAAAGACTACTGTCAACTGGAACTGAAGCCCCAGCAATTTTCTCAGTAATAGCATTATGCCCTGTTGACCCATTCTGACAACTCTTTCTAGGTCTAAGAGTATACATCAGCATATATGCATCACTTGAAGAATACCTCTCCACACGACTATTAGCCTTAAACGACCCATGCTGGTCAACATCAATGTGATTTTCATCTGAAACAGAAGTCTTAACATCTTGGGTAGATGTACCATTTGTCTTAGAGGCAGAACACGATGACCCTTCACCAAAAGGATGATGACCCAAATTTGAAACATGTTCATCATCAAACTCCCACCACTGTCCACTGCTTTCATCCTTGATGTGAGCCACATAATGACCACTGTTGACAGCAGTTCCCTTGTGAACCAACACTGCAGATAAGCCATAAATAAAAGCTGATTCTGAGGGCTCCGACAGTCTTTTTCCCATGTCCAGCTCCTCCGGGAAAGAAAATGCAGATGTGATTTTCTTTTTTGTTGTTGTCTACACACATAGGGAAGAATCATTAATAGACGGGATAGACTTATCCTAGGCAGAAAGCTGTTATGACTGCTGCAGAAAAACCTTTAATTTCAAATTGTAGTTGACAGTGAAGACATGCATAATGCCATATTGAAAATTCCTATCATAGCAGGCTAAAAGTGCATACTATTATAATGATCTAGTCAAAGAAAACCTGGGTAATCCACCATACAGACATCATCAACTAAATGAAAACTAAGCTATGCTTGTGTAGATGACGAAAGAAAGTTGAATAGTTAAAATGAAAAGCACTAAGAAGGAACATTTCGAAAACAGACAAAGAGTCTACAGAAAGTTATTTTACCTCATCCTGGACTGATGGCATCGCTTTAGCTAAGCTTCAAAATGAGTTTTCTGATGCCAAAAAAAGAACACAGAGATGCTAAATATTGACTCTCACCTAATGGAGCTCTAGTTAGGATATTTCAAATTTTCAACCAGCTTACTGCCCTTTTTATACCAGATACTATTCCTAAGCAATCCCTTCCTAAGCCCTCAAAGCCTATAGATTTCTGGAAAATATGCCGCTCCTGGCTACCAAACAGGAAAAAAAGTTGGGCTTGGAAACTGCCTTATTAGATGAGAAAGGGGAAATTCAGAGGAGGCAGATGCCCCAGAATGTCAAGAAATTATAAGAAATGTGCAATTTTAGTGCCAAGAGATTATGTTCCTCACCCATAGCGACCTTTTACTTTGTAATGTAAGAGATGTCAAGAATTTATGAATACGTACACTATGTATAAAATGGGAAAAGTGGGAAGACTGCTTGTCAGTCAAAAAAACCTCAAAGGCTTCGGGTCAGTCCAAATCATCAATAGTCCCTCCTCCAAGTCCCAGCTCCACAGTTTTAATAATGAAGACAAATGATTGGGAATCATCCCCCCAAAGCCGCATTAACCCTTATTATGATATATTAGGGTTTAAACCAAAATTCTAAGCCGGAGTTATAAATGTAGGTAGGTTTAGGACTAGCCAAAGTTTTCTAGAAGCAGGATAAAAATACGAAAAATGCATCATTATCAGGAATTTTCAAGCAATAAAATCAAATTCAAGTGATTACCTTTTGGAGAAAAACACATCTCTTAAGCTGAAAGTTCAGTACAGGTGGCAGTGTGCGCAATTTAATACTGCGAGTAGCATCAACTCTTGTCCCACATGAGTCACAGTGATACTGATTATCCCCTTCAAGTTTTTCCTCGCTAAGATAATCATTCAAACTTTCATCTAAACTCTTTAAGCCCTTCACATTCAATTCCAGTTCATAGAAGTCCTCCAGATTTGAAGAAGCTTCAGATGTTTGCCCGCATTTTGAACATCTACAAGAAAGAGATCACACAATGTCACAGTTATATCCTCTAACATGACTATTAAAAAATCATGACTGAGAAGCATGTGAGGCTATCTAGTAGAAAAATAGGATATTTTCAACAGCAAAAATTTACTTAATGTAAACTCAAAACAACACTGTCAGAGGATAAGATTTCCTCCTTATCTCCTTTCTTGAGGTAAAAGGTGTCTCTTTAAAGAAGACTTTATCAGAAGAAAATAATAAATAAATAAAAATAAAAACAGGCCATAGAGAAGCAAGATAACGTAACATGATCCCATGATAGCCCAATCTCCCTAAATTTGTGACTACGCATTATCTTCAATTGAATTTCCTAAATCTCAACTTAATATTAATCAATCTAAGCTTATTGTAGTTACAATTGAACCTTGGGTAGCCCTTATTAACCCTGATTTAAAGTTGATTAGCCTGGAACCTAGCCTATATAGCTTATAAGAGCATATCTAACTATCTAAACTTATTATCCCTTGAGTAAAGATAAGTAAAATAAAAACATCAATGAGCTCCAACTAAAGCACCTGAATGGCTAAATGACTGCCAAATACGCACACCTCCAAAGCACCTTCTGTCCTTATCCTCCTAAACCCAACCTACCTCACTTTCAATGGTTTACATCAAAAAAAACCAAGCACAACCAAGGCTTCTTTCATGTGCAAAAATCCTACACCATGCTCCATGACCTTGAGTTCGCACCTTTGAAGTTTGAACTGCATTATGTAAATATTATAAGACAAGGCCCTGATCAGCCACTGCACCAAAAAACTTTCAAGAAATTTTATCTTGCTGCAAACAATTGCTAACACAAAGACCTTGGCATTCAACAATTCGAGAGCTTTGAACTTCCAAATAACATTGGAAACAGGGAAGACAATGCGATTCAATCAGCAAGCCAGTCAATTTAACAAAAGCAGAAGCTAAAAAAGTTCAAGGGTACATAACATGTTGGAGTACAGCAAATAATGGAAAGCAAAGCTACCTAGTTCGGGAGGAACCAAATACAGCCTAGATATATACGAAGACTACCCCCATGCTCAACAATACAGAAGCATTCTAAGACTTCGCAAACAAAGAATCTAAATCACACAATGAGACCAGATTCTACATAATTACGAAGACCAACCCAAAGCTCAAACACAAAGACGAGTGATTACACTTGTCAATATCATCCAGGAAGACAATGATAAAACTACCTATGATGGATGCTAAATTATAATACCCTTCCCCTCTCAAATGTAGATATAGATTTCAAATATAGCAAAACAAGAATACATTAAACCTATGAAAAGTATTGTGGCCTTCAAATTTACTTGATATGATCCAGGTACAAGACACTATTATTTTAAAGTCCCGAAGAAAAAAAAATTATATTCTGACAGTGATGATAGAAGTTGACAGGATGTGTGGTAGTGCATGTCTGTATATGCATTTAAATAGGTGAGCATGCATTCTTTGTTCCCGTCTTGGCTTGATACTAATGAGAGCTGAGATTCAAAATGTAAAGCCAATAAAATACCCGAGTTAGGCTTGATAATTACGTATACCCATGATATATAAGAAAATCCCTAAACAGCATCATTTGTTTTGTGGTAATGAAATTGCACTCCAATAGCATAAAATGTACCTTCAAAACCACACGATATCTATGTAAACGTGCTTCACAAACAGAAAAACTAAGTTCCTTGAAAAACCAAGACTCCAAGAGCCCCTTAGTGAGTTAGCAGTACTAGAAACCTCCCATTTTCTACACTTTCTTGCCAATCAACACATTTTCCTGTATGCTCACAATATTTAGTCTACACTATCAGAGACAGGGATCAAGTGGTTGCCGGTGTTACTTTCTACTTTTCACTGTCACGGCCTAAACAAGATGCATAATCCTTTTTTTTATCTGGAAGAGCAACGGTGACCCAGTATATGGATAAGCAATAGTTAGCGAAGACACAACACTAGCAGTAAAACATATAACCAGCAATAATTGAGCCCTGGAAAGTGGAAACGCATTGCTCAAGCAATAATAAAGCATCCTATTTCTCCTACCACAACAACTAAATGTAATGTATTAAAGATAAAAACAGTGTTCATAAAAAGCAAGACAACGCAACAAAACGAAGCTAATTTATCTAATTATACCTGGTAACATGTGACATGCTTCCCCTAAAAAGGTCTTGAACAATAGTTTTTGCTTCAGGGACCACAGAATGGCTAAGGCATCGTTCAACCAAGGACAAAAGCAAAGTGAGGAACTCATGGCTGTCCTGTTGAACACCATTGTCCAACTCAAGAGCTTTTATAAAAGGTGCTGAGTCAATAAAAGCCATCTTACTACCATGCAACTGTGCAAAAAGACGTGCCAATTGATCCAACACTGGCTGCTGCAAAAGGACATGCGGCTCAACAGAAAAAATGCCCTCACGAAAATCCTTGTTCATGTAAAGGAATTGAAGTATGCTGTTGGCGTAGCATGTAGCACCCAAATTTGTCAAACCCGCAGGAGATTCGACTGAAGACCTGAGATCCTTCGTTGGATCAGGACCATATGAACTAATTACATCTGAAACCTTTTGCCACAAACCAGCTTTACGACTTCCAGTTGGGGGTGGAATCAGCCCACAGAAACAGTTAGGATTGTCCTTTGTATTAACACGGCACCCATGACAATTAGTCTTTCTAATATTGTAAAGCTGTGCTAAATCATCATCTGTTACATTTCCCGTTGAGTGAATCCTCCTGAACCATATTTGTTAGTCAAATTACGGATTCATTTGAAGAACTGTCAATTGGGAGAATGGGCAAATTCAAAACTAATATAATAATAAGAGTATTAATTACATACCTCAAAATTTCAGATTTTGCATCAAGTTCATCCTCCGGCCTATTGCGCTTATTCTTGTTACGAGTAGACGGCCGGCTCATTGTAACAACCTATTTGGCCCCTGAGCTGCAAGCAATATAGGGAATAGAAAAGAAACAAAATCGACTAAATTATTTTGGAAAATATAACTAAAATATTCAAAAATTTGTAGCTGATTAGAAATTGTTACATTTCGGGTACATGGATTCCCATGAAGGTAATGTATTCCCTCACAGTATGCATGAAATTTCAACATTTGAGTCAATAATTTTAACTTTTATACCAATCGAGTTCCTTTCCATGGATAGGACTTCAGGACAACTCAAACCACTTCTGGTTTCATACACACCAGGGACAAATAAAAATATCTATGGGAGTATTCTATAGTTATAGCTATTCAAAATTTACTATCAATAAATTCCAACATTTCACTTTCAAAATATGATAGGCCTAAGGCTAGAGTTTCTAGGGGGGCTAATCTAACAACACTTAAATTCACTTATAAACCCTATCAAGTCTTAAGCTCATACGATTTACAATTAACCAATTCTAACATTCCAATCTAATAGTGCCACTAATCTGTTTAATCTATTGCGGAAAATAATTGTAAAAAAAAAAAAAGCATCAAAGGCAAACAGCTAGTCAGATGATATATACTATGCACAACAGAAGAAATAATAAGCTTCTCTGTTGTAAGCATCATTACAAAGATACAATTTTTCACAACACACTAGTCATTACGACCAAATGTCGGTCAAAGACCACAGCTATTATGAATAGTATTGGTTCTTAACACCCCAAAAAATGCCAGCATAACATTTCCAATCAAATTACTCAATGTGAATCAAAATGAGATGTCAAAAAAATGAGATGTAATGCATAAAGACACCATACATTATTAATATTTGCGCGAAAAATTTATTCTTGGCACTTCAATGTTACTTCTAATAAGTAATTTAACATGTTAACATCTATTAAGAAGCACATAAATCCTTAGGTTTCCCTGTTTACAAAACATTTCCATTTCCGAAACTCAAGCCGATTCTGTGCCACATATAGAAGCACAAAGACGCATTCAAACTTCAATTACTCAAGTAATATATAATAATTGTACATTTATACACTTTCCATCTTCAACTATTCTAGTCAATTGTAATCAAGAAGTTGCAGAAAAAGCATTATCGAACAATAATTCACCTCATTCTAACAATTAATTACATTCAAAGACTCCAAAAAACGCGCAGATTATATTCAAAATCCAACAATATATACTAATTACACCACAATTACAAAATTAAATTATGTATACACATAATTTGGAGAAAAATTACAAAAAAAAAAAAAAAAAAAAATCACTTGGGACAAATTAAGCAAGCAGATGATAAATCTGTATGATTAATTCAACAAAAAGTTCGAGAATTTAGATAACGATAATTTACCTAGAAAGTAGCGAGTGGGTAAATTCAATTTTTCTAGAAAATTTAGAACTTGTAGACCTAAAATATTCTAATTTGATCTTCGATTTGGGGGAAATAGAAAGAACGCTCTTCACCTCTTTGGCTTCTGTTCTTAATTTGTGAATTTCAGAGTATTACTGTTGATTGTCTGTAGGAAATAGGAATCTTGAATATAAAAATGTTTAAACAAAATATTGATACTCCTTTAGTCTCTTAAAGATTGTCTCGTCTTTCACATTATTAAGTTATCGTTTATTTTTTTTTTTTGAGGAAAAAGTTATCGTTTATTAAACAAGTGGTAAAACATAAATTGAGATTGAGGACATAATTAAGATTTTTATTTTCAAATTGAAAGCAAAGCGTTGTTAAGACTTATAAGAAAGACAAACCACAAAAAAAAGGGGGGGGATTACATAAGAGACGATGAGAGTACCTTATTGATTGATGTGATATGAGGTTTAATTTAACTCGACCCGAATCAATGAAATCACGTTCGGACAATTTCACTCTTCAATAACTAAAGGATTTAAGTAATTTTAAGTTAATGGCAAACTACTGAAATTTGTTTATTCGGAAGAAAAAGAATATTGAAGATTGTAAAAATAAGCTAGGGATTGCACCATTTGCACAGTTATATAAAGAGTAAGAAATCAAACATGAAACGGCGCAAGTACAATGAATTTCAAATAAATTAACTGTCACTCTATCCTATCCACGGATAGAGACACGTTAGACAACACACAAAGCAAATACTCTGTAGTTGAGACATTTTCATTACAATAATAAATTAATTTAATTAAATAAATACGTTCTCCATTTTTGTTCTTAAATTGTACTTAGTTATTGTAGTTGTGCAAACCTAGGGTGAAAGTAATTCGGATTAAAATTAGTAATTCAAAGTTTGGTTATTTTTAATTCCGTTCAATTCGGATTAAAAAAAATAATAAAATAAAATTAAAAAAAATGATTATGCTTTTGTTTCGATTTTAAGTTAAAAAAAGGGGGAAAAAAGGTCGAATTAAAAACCAAATTTTATACACCCCATATTTCCAATTATTTCCAATAGTATATAAGTCGAAAGGAAAATTAACCCTAGCTAATAGCCTCTCATGAAGAAAAAAAAAAAACCTCACGACTCTCTCATTTTCTCACTCCGTCACCTACCACCCTACCGGCGACTTCTAGCAATGTCTTTTGTGGTTTATATTAGGTTGAAGTTATGTACAACTCTTAGATCTGAATTATTTTCATATCATGCTAATAGAACATCCAAATACAATGTTATTTTTTAATTTATCAAGAATTATTTAAAGTTTATGTATTTATGTATGCCTTTTCATGTCAAATTTCATATTTTAATGTCAGTTTTATTATATGTATGTAGAAAATCTTATTATTGGCATGATATCATGAGCCACGCATGTTTGCTGTGTTAATTAGGCCCAATAATTTCGGTTTAGTTTGGTTTCGTTTTTGAAAATTAAATTAAAACGGTTTAGATTGGATTGGACCAAATCCAAATCCGGGTTTGGATTTGGTTTCAAAAATCCCAAACTAAATTAATTTGGTTTATCCTATAATCTGAATCACAATCCGAACTTTCACCCCTACGCATACCAAGAAAAAGTGATAGTGGGAATCATACATGCCTTTTGTTTTAAAGAGGGGAGAGATAGAGAGTGAGAGATTTAATAAATCAATATGAACCCATAAAGCAAGGTAGTGGGTGAGAAAATAAAAATGAAAATAAAATAAAAGATTGTCATAAAAGGAATAAAGTTATAAGGTAGTAATATATCAAACCAAACCAAACAAAACCGTATTAACCGGACCAAACCACAACCGTAATAATACGCTTTATAATGAGACGATTTTCCCTAGAAATTATCAAATAATACTTCATTAACTAATAATAAATTTTAAATAATGAGCCCAACCATATACCCTATGTTGTATTTTGATTTTAATTATTTTTTTAATTTTTTGTAATATTTAATAATTATTTTTAAATTATATAAATATTAAACTACGGTTTACTAGTTTACGGTTTGGTTTGATTTGATTTTAATCTTGAAAAACCAAACCGTAAACCGTATTTACAAAAAATATATATAACCGTATTTTTATAAACCGTAAACCAAACCAACCATAAAACAAAACCAAACCAAACTGCTAAAATGCGGTTTGGTCCGATTTGGTTATGGTTCAGATTAATATAACATCTCTATGTGTCTATTAAACAAAGGATCAGAATTGAGGGCACAATTAAGACTTAATTTTTTATTTATTTTTTTCAAAACAAGGACAATAAAAGACTTTCAAGAGAGATAACCCATAAAGAAATTAAAAAGAGAATATATATGAGATGAATAGAATACCTTATCTATTGATGTGATATGAAGTTGTATATAACTCGATCCTTGGCAGTGAAATACGTTGTGCTCCTCAAACAATTATGCTCCTTCCACTATAACTAAACCAAACTTTGATTAGGTATAAGAAAATGGCAAAATACTGATATAAAAACTAAATAAAACGCTTATTATATATGTATATCAATGTATGAAGAAGAGAAAAGATTTGGTATTTCTGAAAATAATGAAGATTGTAAATAAAATAAACCAGGATTATGCAGCTATATAAAGAGTAAGAAATCAAACATGAAAAGGCACAATTACAATACAATAAACGATACAATTAATCTAATAATTGGTTGTATAATACAATAAACGATACAATTAATCTAATAATTGGTTGTCACTCTAGGCTGTCACTCTATCCTATCCAAAGATATATACACGTCAGAAAACACACAAAACAAATAATTGAGACCTTGTATAATCGATTAATTGAGACAACACACGTCAGACAACACACAATATCCCGCGCTAATAAATAGCGAATTTCTATTCCGTGTAAAACACTAGTTGAATATTTTAAAGGAAAAATACACTTTAATAATCCCAACTTTGACCGATTTACTTTGGCATCTCAATTTTGATTATTCTACAATAATTTGAACTTTCACTTACATTTTTTTTCCCTAATAATCCCAACCGGTCAACAAAAACAAGCGACCTAATATTCTAAGTAACTTGACATGTGTAAAGTCGTAATTGGTCCAAAAAAATTAAAGAAAAAATCAATTGAAAAAAAAACAACCCACCACCAGCCCATAACCACCGGCGGTGGGCCCACCTCCCCCACCCTCGAATCCACCCTTAACACTAACCCTAGCCTTCAAAATCACCTATCCCACCCCCGATTACCACAAAAAACGCAACCCCTCCCTTTATCTCTACTCCTTGTGCCGAAAAAACACAATCAAAGGCGTGAGGGGAAGGTTCCCGATGTATGGGGGGGAGGGAGGTCGGAAATGTAGGGTTAGGGGATCGAAGAAGGTGGTTTGGGGGTGGGGTTAATCGGTTGAGGAAGGGATAGGCACCAGGTGGCTGGTGGTCTTTTTTTATTTTTTTTTGGTTTTTAATTTAAATTTTTTAATTTTCATTTTTTTGAACCAATTAACATGCAACATGTGACAAGTAGTTTGTCTTAAATTTTTTTTTAAAACCTTTTCTTCAAGTAGTTAATATTCGGAATTGAATAAAGAAAACACAAGTGAAAATTGGGATTATTGCATTGCAAAAGAATCAAAAGTTGGGATTATTCTTAGAACACTACAAGAAAATACCTTTTCGTATCGATTGTTTTAACATTTCGTATCGATTGTAATTGTTACAAAAAAAAAATCCCAATGAATTGTCATTTGATACAATATCCGTTGTTGCCAAAAAAATCCATACATATGATCTATACAAGATTCGAACATGCAATCTCATGCTATTTTATTAAATGTTTTTCCAATAAACTATGACATATTTTATATTCTTATTGTCAAACAAAATTTTAAAATCTAGTGTCATGAAGGCTTTTCGTATCAATTTTAGGATTTTACTGGCGATTGTAAACGATACTTTTTTCCATAATTTTATAAATGTGTAGAATAAAGGTGTATAAATATTCATTTGTTTTTCGTATCAATTTCTTATGGGTTGACTATGTCGATTGTAAAATAATACAAATTCCTCTATTATTTCATAAACATATGTGCATATTGTAGCGAATGTACAATCGCTACAAAAAGACAATTTTCTTGTGGTGGAAAATCGGCCAAAGTTAGGATTATTAATGTGTATTTTTCCTATTTTTAATTATATTTTATTTATTATATGGAAAATCTGCCAAGAATAATATGACCTTTCAGCGGTCTTCTAAAAATGGAACAACCTTTAATTTTTTATTATTTTTTTTTAAAAAAAAAACTTTTAAAAAAAGGAAAACTCTTTACCCAGCCCCTTCCCCCACTAAACCAGGCCACCTCCCTTACCTGGCTCGACCACTTCTTTTGCGGCAATGCCACGCCTTTCCTCGATCGGCGATCCTACCTAACATCTCTCTGCCCCACCTGAGACCCCCGGCCTCATCCTTTCCTTCACCTTGACCATGCACACACCTTGAACTATCCATTCTTCAGCCCCGTTGTTGGACTTAATGATTTTGATGATGACACAACCTCACTTACTTACAAACTAATAAGTGCTTGATTGTTTAAGTGTGTGATCAGTTGCAAAGACTAGGAGAACTAAGATTCTTGCGAAGATACCATGAGGAACAAGAAAGGCAGAAGCAAAGCCATCCAAAAAGAAAGGTTCCTTTGCTGGAACTGGTGCTTCAGAAATGAAGACTTGAGAAGAGAAGGTTCTCCTCAAGGAACAGAAGCTTCATAGCAGAAGCTTCACCAGAGAAGAGAAGTTCCCCTTGAGGAACAGAAGCCTCGGAGTAGAAGCTTCATCAGAGAACATGAAGACTAAATATATTTTTATATTTTAGGATTTGTATAAGTATAAGAAATAAGTTACATTCGAAATAGCTGTGTGGAATCGGTCAAAAATGATAAAATTGTGCATGCCAGTTTTTAGGAAAACAGTATTTCTCTAACGTTTATCTTTTCTAAACAAAAAGGATTTTATTTTATTTTGATTTTCAAAATATCTTTTTACCAAAAAAAATCTGATTTTATGTTTCTAAAACTTACGGCCTACTCCCCATGATCTCTTTCATGTCATGGTCGAGCACATTGAGGATTTCATGTTTCCTTGAATTTAGGAA